AGTATGAGAGCATTCAAGTCAGTTGTTTCATATTTAAAGATCAAACCAGGAACTAAATTAGGAAAATAAAACCAGGAATTAAATGAGAAAAAAATTAGGGGAACAGAAACACTTCTCATAATAAGAGTGAAAGTAGTATAAAGTGAAGTAATATTTGTCTAAACACCTGTAACTTTAGAACTCTGATTTTCTGGTTCATCTTAATTGTTAAGACTGAATATAAACAAATTGGATAAAGTGTTCCTTTCTGTGATTCTTTTTTTCCCTCAGTTGTAAAACTGGGAGGTGAATGTTATTTATATAAAAATGTAAACACATTTGATCCTGAATAATTGATATACTTAAGAAATTTCATTTGGAAGACAATGTAGAAATAGTAATATATTATTAGAAAATGTTTTTATATATACAGTTGACAAGAATTTATTATATTAGTGTATACATCTTGAACCCTATCATTAGGTATTTAACATTGTCACCCTGAGCTTTGGAAAAAGACCAGATAACCCAGAATGACATCAGTAATTTACCTGACACAAAATTCTGTTTCTCAAAAGCACATTTGGTAAGAATGCAACTTGTCTGATTACAGGATTTAGTAGTAAATAGTCTTCTAATGTAGGAAATTACTTTGTGTATATAGTTAATTTCTTGATGCAAGTTTTACCTTATTTGAACTTAAAAATTAATTTTTACAGGCTATTAGCCAGGTGTTTTACTGATGTTTGTAATTCAGGGGAACTTTAATGGGCAGGAACAAACAGTAGTTCTGTTGTTTCTAAAACATTTCTTTTTAGTATATTTGGATATTCTACCTGTTTACATTTGGCTGATTATATATTAAACTTCTGAAGCTTGGTATTAATATTCTTTGAACTCCTTTATTATTTAGTGTTTTTTCTATATAGCAATGGTTATATACCACTTTATTTACTAATATTTCATGGGAATTAGTCGTTACAAGCAATAAGGTACAGTGCAGAGATTTGGTCTGGACTTTACTCAGTTCAAAACAAGTGTCAGCACTGATTTTGGGAGTATCTTAGCCCAGTAGCTAAGCATCTTTTTAAATGAAGGCCATTATTGGTGTTATCCTGAGTTCATTTAGGAGAAAGATACAAGTGAATCAGTAGATAAACAAAGGAGAGTATAAAGGTCTCTTGTTTTTTTCTGTGTTACTTTTTCTGTCTCTGGCATAGTATCTCACAATGAATGGTTTGGTTTTTGAGAGTAGAAGTCATATCCCAGGTTGATGTTACTAGTTTTGTGCTGTGCTTTGATCTGGTGCTTGATCGGTGCTATTTAGTTTCATTTTGGAATGAAGTTATGTTATTGGAGTGTGTAAGATAATAACTCCATTTTGTCGATTCTAGATACATTAATATTTTATCACAGTTTGTCTAGTTAAAGCTAAATGATTGTTTCACTTTAGTAATTAAATTATGACCCAATGAAAGAATCCATTCTAATGCCATTTCTTTAACATGTCAATTAGAGACTACTGGACAAAGAGTATTCCCTTATGTTTAATGTTGGACTTTAATTTCAAAAGACAGTTATCAAGTAGTTAAGTGGATAATAGGTGACAGCTTGCAATTTTGCTAGTAGAATTTCAGAATAGGTACAGTCTATACTCAGTCAAAAATATTCATGAATATTAAGTAACAAATTTTGGAACACATATTCTTTTCCTTTTGCTACATTTTGTAAAGATTTTCTTAGCTTATAATTTTCATAATTTGAAGGGATGTGTGGGAGTTAAAGGTGAACATAATGTCAAGGAATAATAGGTTGAAAAACATTCTTCAATATAAAGAACAGATAATATTGCATGAAAATATTTTAAAATCTTTTGCCTAAAGGATCTTCCAAGTCATTAGCACTTGTGTTTAAAGTTTGTACATCCTGCTATTATAAGGGCATTATGGTACTTGTATCATAAGAACTCACTTGCAATGAACAGATTTATTTACGTGAATAATTTGAAATGAAAAATAATAGTTTAGAAAAAATCTAGGAGTCATAGTTTAATATTCCAAAGCAAAATAAGTCATTTTACATGCAAATTTACCCACCTAACACATCCTTTTGAGGTCTACTTTATTTGACATTAATTTCATTCCAGCCTTCCTGTGCTTCTTGTTTATGTGACCTATCTTTCTCCTTTTACTCTTTTATTTATGTCTTAATATTGAAAGTATGTCACCTCTGAAGATGCATTTTTAAACTTTTTAGAAATCCATTCTGTCAGTCTTTGTCTTTTAATCATAGTGTGTAGTCCTTTCACACTTAATATAATTATTGGTAATGATTTTTATGATTTTTTGTTTGTCTTCTTTTTATTTCTGCTTTTTAGGTTGAATATTTTTAGAATTCCTTTTTAATTTCCCTATTGGCTTTTTAGCTAAAACTTTCTTTTTTTAATGATTTCTATAGGAATTACAATATACAGCCTTAACTTCTCAATCTACTTTAAGTTAAAATTATATGACTTCTTAATAATGTATAGTAGCTATTTAGGCATGTTGGGATATGGATATCTGTCTACCATCTTTTACGCTATAATTGTCATCTGTATTACATCTACCTAGGTAACAGTGTTGTAATTTTTACTTTGAATGATAATATCAAATCAAGAGGAAAAACTAATCTTTCACATTTATGTACATGTTTACCATTTCTAATGCTTTTCATTCCTGAGATCCACATTTCTATCTGGTATCACTTCCCCTCAGCCTGAAGAAATTCTTGTAGCATTTCTTGTAGTGCGTTTTGCTTGTGACAGTTTTGCCTTCATTATTAAAGGGTATTTTTGTCGGATATGGAATTCTGGGTGGACAGTTGTAGAGACTCCGTATTCTATAAAGTTCTCTCTTAAGAGTATTGTTTTATTTTAGCAGTCAGTTAATGTTACTGAACTCACTTGGGCAAACTCTTTGTTTCCTTTGTTGAGCAAGAGCTGAAATCTCAGTTCTGTTTTTTTTGCTTTGGGAAGCTGCCCTGTGTGTACATAATTTAGGGATCAGCAGAGACTTGAGCAGAGTTTACACACAGAATTTAGGGGCACCTCTTTTACAGCTCACTTCTTTTTGGGAACCTAAATACAGAGTCAAGAAACAGATCCCCATATACATGGACAGTTGGCTTGCAGCAAAGGTGCAAAGGTTAAGTGGAGAAAAGATAACATTTTCATCAAATGGTGCTGAAACAATCAAATACCTTTATGCCAAAACAAAAACAAAAAAAACCTTTGGTTCATATCTCACAGCATATACAAAAATCAACTCAAAGTGGATCATAGACTAAGTGTACAACATAAAACTATAAAATATCTAAAAGAAAACATAGGAGATAATCTTTGTGACCTTAGGTTAATTAAAGATTTCTTAACTACAACACAAAAAACATCTATAAAAAGAAAAAATTGACAAATTGGATTTCATCAAATTAAAAATACTTGCTCTTTACAAAAACACTATTAGATTAGCATGTGTAATATAGGGGGGGCATGGGGAGAGCTGTGCAACACAGTGAAGACAAGTAATGATTCTACAGCATCTTACTATGATGGACAGTGACTGTAATGGGGTATGTGGGGGGCACTTGGTAAAAGGGGGAGCCTAGTAAACAATGTTCTTATGTAATTGTAGATTAATGATTAAAAAAACACTATTTGAAAGCATAAAAAGATAAGCCACACATTGGGAAAAAGTATTTACAAATCACATATCTGCTAAGGACTTTTGTTCAGAGTATATAAACCCTCAGAACAGTAATAAGAGTGAACAAAAGATTAAAATGAACAAAAGATTTGATTAGATGCTTAACCAAAGAAGCTATACAGTTGGCAAATATGCACATTAAAAGATGCTCAACATCATTAGGAAAATGCAAATTAAACCACAGTGAGAGACCATTACACATACATTAAAATAAGTAAAATTCAAGAGATTGACCATAATCAAGTGTTGGCAAGGATGTGGAACTCTCATTCACTGCTGGTAAGAATGCAAAATGGCACAATCACTTTGGAAAATAGTTTTGTTAGTTTCTTTAAAATTTAAACATTCAGCTGCCATATGACCCACCCATTTCATTTCTAGGTACTTAACCAAGAGAAGTGAAAGCATATATCCACATAAATGCTTGTACAAGTGTATGCATAGCATCTTTCTACGTAATAGTCAAAAACTTGAAATAAATGTCCCTCAGTAGGGAAATGGATAAGCCAACTGTGGTATGGGATGATAATAAGCAGACAACAGTTTAATCAAATGTTTTGCCATTCATAATGTGGACTGTCGTCCTTTTAGCTTTCACCTTTCAGTGACAGTTTTCTTGCTGCCTGCTACTCAGCCACTAAGTCCGTATCACATGTTTAGCATTTTTGGTACTTCCTTTACCAAAGTCTCTATCAGTCACAAAGGGCCAGGTTATGCTGTGATAATAACCCTAAATCTCAGTGGCTTAAAATAGTTTTGTCATGAGTGATATGTCCATTGTGGGTTAGCTGAGAGTTCTGTTCCCTGTTGTCACTCTGAGTCCCATGCTGATGGAGAAGTCAGGATCTGAAACATTGCTCGTTGCTGTGAATATCTTCATAAAGTTGTTTGATTTATAGGAGTTAAGGCAGATTTTCAAGCTGGACTGCCTTTTTATTTTCATCGGCATTCATTGACTTTTGTCTCATTTTAGGGTGCATTAAAATCTTCAGTGACACCAATAACTGTAACTTTCTTTAAGCCATAGTACAAAAAATTAACACAAAATACCTCTCAATGTTTACCAAAGGTAAATCTCAAAGGTATTTATTGAGATGGGAATTATGTTTTCCTGTGTGTTGGACAAGGAACCTGACATTCAAAAAGAGTAAGTGAATTGGCAGTTGTCACATAGTAGTGAAACTGAACCTGAACCCAGAGTTCCCATTTTAATATTTTTGTGCAAATTGGAGAAAAAAATGAATATACTGTTTATTTACACATTCTTTATTTTGCCAGTCTCTTCAGCAGGCCACATTTAAGCGGTGTTTCATAGCTCCTGTTGCCCGCGGCTGGAACACAATGGATCACACAGGGACACTAGACACCGAGGATGAACTGGGACCTTTAGCCCGTCTTGCCCCAAGTCCTCAGAGTGAATCCGTTGCCCATGAGTTCCAGGAACTCTCGCTGCAGCCCAGCCAGCACTTACCCCCTCTGAATGAAAGGAAGAATGGTGAGTTCTTTGGCATGTGCAGTTGGAACTTTGACTTAAAATTACTCTCTGTGAGCCCACTTATTCCTCTTTGGTAATTTTTCCTGTCAGTTGTATTCAGCAGTTAGTCACAGAAAGAACCTCGTAGGGTCCTCACTGCTTTTTAATAACAGAATTTCATTTTCTGTACATTTCTTTCATTACTTCCCCAGTAAGTGCCTTTGGTAGCAACATTATATTTGGAAATGAGCTTTAGATTCTACCGTTTTAGCACAAGCAGAGGATTTCGTGCTTGAATGGCATTGGAAAGTAGCTTCCTATGCCGATTTCAAGGAAAATAGATGGATTTGACTAGATTCTCCTCTCTTTTCCCATCTCCACTGTGATGTACCTTAATTTCATAATTGGCAGAATTTGAGCTATATTAATGATCAGTAGGAAAGCAAGAATTTCTTATTTGAGTTTTTTTTTTTTTTAATTAATGGGTATAGGCTATGACTGTGTTTTCAGTCCTGGTGTACAAAATGAATGCTTTCTGTTCATTTGTTATCTATCTGTTCAGGAACTTTTCATTGAGTACAGGGGCATCTCTGAGTCTCCAGAAAACATAGTAATGTCCATGTTTAACATAAATGAATAGACATAGGTGATAACACAATTTTTAATACTTAAAACATAAAAACTAAAAAAAAGTTAAAATTTTACAAACACACTAAGCATACATATTAAAAGGGCAGACTTAAGAATTTCGGCTGGATTCAATATGCTTTCCACAGTTCTGATGCGTCTTAAATTGACAACAACTTTTTTTAAATTTCAGTTTTAAAAGCCAAAAGAAATAAAATTTTCCTATAGAGTGCTTCCTTATGCACCTTGTAACTTATTTTTCTGGGTTCTGAGTTTCCCAGACCTTATCTTATTCAGGAAAATGGATAGAAGATGTATGCTACTATTCTGAGTTCTTTAATACATGTCTTTGGTGTATATTTGTCCTCCCATCAAATAAGATGTCTGGTACTTGTATCTGATACTTCTTGTTAGGTATAACCCTTGTCCAGGTTGATTGGTATAAAGTAACATTTTGGCTAAGGCACTGTCAAAACCTTTAGGAGGCTGTGGTTGACTGGTGATGGCTTTAGAACCTTCCATCAGTTAGGACCCTAGCTTTATCTTAGATAGTGGTTGAAAGACTAACAACCACATTTACTGACACTTGGCTAAATGTGATCAAATTTACACAGTGTACTTGGACCAGCAATAATTTTTAAATGACTACTTTCAAAAAAAATTGGAACAGGTGTAAAATTTCAGTAATATACAGTTGCTCAAGAAAATGGTCATAGATAGCAGAGGAGAGAAGTATGTAAGGAAAGTTTATATTTCATGGTGATTTACTTGATATAGCCTGCCACATTCTCTTCAAGAAATGTACTCTTGAATAGAATACGTATGCCCGAATATGAGGTAAGCTCAAATATAAGATGTCTCCCCTTATAAACTTTTAGGGAGGAAAATGAAATGGTAAAATTTTTAATTTATTAATTTAGTTGCATGTACATAATTCACATTTTATGAAGCAGTGCAGTGATATAGAATTGCTTTGTCCACACTCAATAGTTCATAAACCCATTTTGCTCAAATTCTACTCATGAATATTTGTGGTGTTTTATTATCAGTGGAGCCCCTTTTCATCCATCTGGCACTAAAATCCTGCATGCATCTTTATTTCTATCTCTTTATGTTTGAGTTACAGCAATTTTTGAATACCTGTGGGATCTGACACTGAATATTTTATTTCTAAACCACAAGTTCCACTTGCAAAACAGTGGGCCTGGGGTATGTGTGTGTGTGTCTCATAGTTCACATTCATAATCTCTGTAACATAATCACTCTTATTTGATTTGTGATTGGTTATAACATTTGATGGGGCTTCATTTTCTGTTGTAGAATTTAATCATATTTTATTTATTTTATCTCTGAGTAGGTAATACGTTCACATGGCTTAAAATGTAAATTGTACAGATGGGTACACAGTGAAAAGATGTCACCCTCCTAGTCTTGTCCCTTAGCTACCTGGTTACTTCTACAGAATTAATTACTCTTGCTTGTGTCTTTTCTGAGAGAATAATAGTATTTGACTACTTACTAATAAGCAGTTTTTGAAAGTTTTCTTTGTAACAACATGCAACACTTTTAATTTTAAGATTGTAACCTGAGAATAATTAATGTGTTGATTTTTTGCTCACCTTTTTTTCCTGATCTTATTAAGGTATTTTTGTAAACATACTAAAATAAGCTCCAGTGAAGTTGATTTTTAAACTAATGTATTTTCCTCAATTATTAAGTTAATGAGAAAGAATCTTATAATATGAAACACTGTGTAAGGACTCAAATACAAGACATTCTCCTCTTTTCTAATAAAAGACTTTAGGAAGTTAAAAACCTTACCTTATATTCAGGCATACTCTCTAATTTCAGGTTTATGATGTATTAGCCTAATTTGTATATACATTTCAAGGCATAAGTGGAATCTTTGTACAGCTAAGAAATCTGGGTTTTTGATGTAATTATGTGGGTAGAGTAGAATCCCATCAAGCAATATATAGATGGAAGAAACTTACTTTCTCACCCTAATGATTTTTTCATGTTGATTCTTCATTTTTTTAGGTCTTCCGAATACCACACTTATTACAAAAAATGTAGATGTTGGCCTCAAAATTAATTAATACAAAGTATTGTTTGGATACTATGAAATAATAAAATTCAGCTATTTTCTTGGTGGTTGTATATTATTGTTACCCCTGAGCATTTGAATTTCACTTGTTAGAATTATTTTCTTTTCTGTTGGGGGTAAAAGAGGGTATTTCAACCAGGGATTGGCATGTAGAACAATTGTGTCACCAAAATAGTTCATAAATAAGCTTTACAAGGAAAATGAGGTTGACATTTAAGTAATGATTCCAGGATCTTCCCTTATTTTTTACTAATATTTATGTTGGCAATGGTAGTGGAGTGACAAAATATTCCCACTACTGAAGTAAATGCAGAAAATGTTTAGTAAAGATAAGTTAGGGTTTTCCTTTATCCCCAGATGTGGCCAAAATAATTCTGTGGTTAATGGCACCTCAAAAGTAAGGTAACCATTTAGGCAATTAACCCTTCCCAAAAAATGAGTCCTTCATAAAAGGAAGTGGATATACAGAAACACATAAATAATATAGCTTTACTAAAATGATGCATACAGGGAAAATTGAGCTTTGTTTTGACATTTACACACAAAATAGATCCATTTTCAAGTTTCAGTATAACTTTCCTTCATATAGTTTACACTGGGAATAAAAGGGAACAGTCAAAGGGACAGTTCTTTCATTGTTTAATTAGAAAAACTCAGCTGCTCAAAGTTGAATATAGCTTTATAAAAGCCAGGAAAGGCAAAACAGATGGAAACAACATACCTGAAAGAGCTATAGCTCTTTCCCTGCACTAACACTTAGAAGGGACCAGGAGGAAGAAGCTTTTCATTCATGAGGTCGTTTGCAAGATTAAGTATGCTCTTCAGCAAATTGAAGCTTTTAAGTTATTGCCAGCATAATCATAGAAAAAGCAGATAAGTTGACCTAGATCCCCCTTTTATAAAAGCAGTTGGTATTTTAATGCTTTCTGGTACATCTCTGAGGATGAGTTCAGTCATGTTAAGATGGCCACAGACATACCACAGGCCAGCTGCTGTAGTAGGTGGAAAATGAGTGTCTGCCACCTTTCTTTTTCCATATTAAAAGGCTTTTGAAACTGTATTTACAATGAAATAGTGCATTTTAGGTCTCAGTAAAGAGGGCAGAGTTATTTTTTATTCTTATTTTATTTAAACTTTGGTATTACTAGTTACTGCTGCTGTTAGGTTTTTTTAAGCTTGTAGTCCCATCTTGAAAGATTTTTTTCTAAGATTTTTTTTCCATTCATTAAACTTACCACAATGAACAATTTTAGACTATCTTTTATTCTGTTCCACAATGATTACTTGCTAGAAAGAAAATACTCAGAAGTGTGTTGCATACAAGAGACTTCAAGGTGACTCCTTGCATTGGACGCAGTACAGGTATTAATACATTTATAGTCAGATGAACTTTGCCTGGCCATGGAACCTAGCCAAAGAAAACTGCTTGCCTTGTACCATAGTAAGTGATGGCATAAGTGCACAGCTGGTCTTTTCTTTGGGTTCTGCTTTAAAAACATTTCCCCACTCCTCCTTAACCCACCCGTTAGGCTTATTGTCAGTCTTTGGAAATGCACAACAGTGATGAGCATTTGTCTTGACAAAACCGTGTTCCCTAGAATGTGCACTAAGTGGGATGGCCTAATGGAGAGTGATAAGGAAAGGAGAGGATATTTCCGCTTTTCTCTGAATCAGACATAAAATTGTTATAGTATCATACATGGGAAGGAAATAAGTAGTTGCTAAATAGCCAAAATATGGAACTGGGATTCTTGCTTTCCCTTCTATAACTGGAGGTAATAGAAATGAATAATTTTCTGTAAAATTATCTTGTCAGTGGCTTTACTGTTAACATATTTAGGATTTTGGATATTTAAAGTAATTTTCATAGTACAATTTCAAGGATATTGATAAACATTCTGTTACATTTAGATACTTTGTTTTCTTGCTCTCAGGAGTTAAGAATACTTGGATTGAGAAGAAAGGTACATACTCAAATTTAATTTTCCCTGGTCAGTTTCTAATATATTTTTTTAATTAGGCTTTAGGACTTAGACTAAACACAATTATAAAGTTGAAAAGCCAGCTTATGACACTCCTGACAACTGCACATGAAAGTCTTGATTGATTGTGGCAGCTCTCAAACTTTTTGTTTGTGACAGCCCCTTGAACCCTTCAAAATGAAAAAGGAGCCATGTAAGTAGCTTAAAGTTGAGGTGCTCTCTTTCACAATGGTCTTTATAAAGTCCCCTATTAAATAGCATGTTTTGTTTCACAATGTACATAAGCACCTGTGACCCTGTCCACCTTCTTTTTTCAACTCCAGGTTTCTTACTTAGATAGCTTTGCTGTTACTGAGGATTTAATTTGTTTCAGTGCATTGCTGAACACACCCAAGCAGTGTGTATGTGTGAGAACAGAAGAGGTGCTGGGCACTGATTTACGGTCTCCCATTTGTAGCTGGCAGTGTCAGAACACTATCATGAGCATGCTTTAGTTATTTCTGAGAGGGTAGATGTAGCTCAGTTTCAAGAGGGCATCAGCAAGAGCATAGGCCCCAGATACAGCACCCCTGAAGCCACATTTTGAGATTTTTTATCCAGTCTTTAAATTATATCCTCTTGCAGAAATGCACTTGGGAGTGTCAACAATTAACATATTTATTAAAAGTGAAATTTAGAATAGTAATTAGCCTTTTAACCCAGCATGAGATCACATTATCTCAAAATTATAAAAATATTTGCCTAAAATGTGTACAAGATCTTTCCAGAGTTTATTAGAGTCACGGAAGTACATTATTTCTTACATAGGTTATTGGATATAATTTTCATAAAACTAGAATCCACCATAGAAATTATATTAGGCACTGGACCAGGGAATGAACTGAAACTAGTTTATTAAGAAATAGTCTTTCCTGTTCCTCAGAAAGCAATTAAAAAATATATAAATGATTAGTTAATAAATATTACTCAACTGCAACCCTCTGGCTACTTAGACCTTTCAAGTGAAAAGAATAATTAGTTTGTAATTGAAATTGAATAATTAGTTTACAATCAGACCCTGTGTGCTGGGCCAATAATTAGTTTATAATCAGACCCTGTGCACTGGGCCAATTTCAAATTCATTGAAATTAAGGGGGGAGCTCTTTTTACTTCAATCTGCTACCTAACAACATCCACAGTGACCTCTTGTAGCTAAAAAGGGGGAGAATGGAAAGATACTGGATACCTGCTATCTAAAACAGCTTGATAAATGTAGGGAATATACCAGAAAAAAATGATGCATGATTATTTTTCTTTCTTTGTATTTCAAGACATCAATAGTAAAGTACTGTTGTGACAAAAGCAACAAAACAGGTATGTTGGAATAACAGTTGTATTGTAATTTTCTCTGGTTTGTAGTTAATAACCACCCAGACTAATTAGCGAACATGCCCAATGTTTTTCTGACTCCTTTAAATTGATCCGTACTGTTGGCTATCCTCACCTGCTGCCCTCACTATTATTAACAGGAAGTGTAGTCTTTTGGGAGTCAGGACTCCAGTCTCCTCTGCTGACTCAGTCTGTGAGCACGGGTAAGTCTCAGAAGCTCTCTGTGTTGCAGTACACCCATTGTAATATCTGTATGGTAGCTTCCAGCCCATGTGTCTTTCTGGCTGCCCTCCTCATTACTTCATGTGTTCTTGTATCTCACTCTCACTTTTGCCTTGTGCTGTTCATTGGGCAGCAGAAGCAGGAAGAATGGAAGATAATAATTTCCATCTCAGTTAACCGATGGAATTTTCCATAGATATGAATTAGTAGGGTTGCTGTTTAAGACATTCCTCACAGATTATTATTAAACATATGTGCCTGCTTGCTCAATTGGTAAGACTTTCCCTCTTAAAAGGAAAGAGAAATTGACTCAATTTGTGTTGTCCTCAAAAAAATATATATGTATATATATATCTGATTTAGAATATGCAGTATTTTCCTATTAATGGTTTTCAAGGGTTGGCACGTATGTGTTAACAGTTTTACAATAGTGTCAGACTATCAGTTAAAAGACAATATTTTACTTTTTTTTAAGCCAAATTATTCATATCCTTTTTTGGTTGTTTTTGTTGTTTTCATTAAGACAGTGCTAATAGTTAGGTGTCTGTTCCACTGACTGGAAATTTTTATGTATGACTTCTGTGTTTGATAAAGAAGTAACAAGGGAAGCATAAGTCTGATCCACAGCTTGTTTTTGGTTCTTGCAGGCTAAGTTTAAAAATTGACAAATGTTAGAATTTGTCAGCAGTCTCTGCAGATTTGGGATTCAGAGTGTTGATCCTGACATAGCAGTTAATCATGTATTATATAAAAGGAAAGTTTGCCATATTAGATATTCTCAGTCTCCTAAAGTACTAAAAAAAAACACTTGAAGAGTGGAAATGGGAATACTTTTTATCATCAGAAAATACATATTGAATGATCATTGTGTCTCTTACCATAAAATAATTCTTAGATTTTCAGCCTCTAGTACAATGTTAGCAGCTCAAAATGTAGTATGTACTCATAACATTGTTGGACACATAGATTTTTGAAAGCAATTCCCTCAACTGTATACAGAAAATTAATTTAGAGATGATTCTTGCAACTGAGAGGAAGAAGAACCTTGTCTTAAAGAAAAAGGGCTTCAGAGTCAAGTCTAGAACCTGTTCCTCTTCACGACGTGTGTGGTGTCAGGCCACACACAGCAAGCCCATGTGTTTCATATGTGAATAAGAATCATGTTAAGTGTACCTCATAGGTTACTGGGGGACTTAGATGAAATAAAGCATAGTACTAGCATACACATGGCACACTGTAAGCAGGCAGTTCATGTTAAAGGTACCCAGCATTGCCTGCTTGACATGGAAATGCCACGGGAGAGGCAGCATGCACAGTGCTTATAGCCCCAGCTCTGGAGCTGACCTGATCCTAGATCTAGGCTACACCATTATGAGCTATGTGAATTTAGACAAGGTAGTTTTAGGTCCTTTGCCTCCGTGTGCCCATCTGCAAAATGGGGATCATACGAGGACCTGTTCATATGAAAATTACATGAGTTCATATAAATCAAGTTAGAGCAGTGCAGGCCAGTAATTAGCACTTTATAACTGTGTGTTGTTAATAATCTATAATTTGGGAGTGCAGTGTTTCAGTTCATACTAAGTGAAAACAGTTTTTCAGGATTCCACTGTGGTGTTTTATAACAGTGTTTCTTTAAGTAGTCCCAGGAATTTTGCCTCCATTTTCCACGAGTATTTCTTTTTAAAGATGTAAAAATGACATGCAGTTTCTTAAAGTCTCACCCTGTACCTTCATAACATTTGAAGAGCAGCGTATCTGATGAGAGCGGAGGGGGCAAATGTAGTAGGCACTGATTTCCCATGAAGTTTGTCTCTTGTTGGTACTGCCAGTTCCCACAATCCTAGCATTCCCTGGGCATCAGTCAGTGTCTACGAGGAATGATTTTCAAATATTAAAGCATGTGAAAAGACAAACAGGCCGAAACTCAGAGCTCTCTAGGGACTATGACCTCCAAAACAGACTCCCTTCTGACATTTTCACAGGCTGCTTGAAGAAATTCCAGCAGGGCCATTCCATTTGGTAAACTCCTAAACAAACCCTCTGTCATCAAGGACTGATTTATAGATTTTTCTCCTTCTTATGTACTTGTTCTAAAGAGATTAAGATAGTAGATATGGTTGCAGAGACGTTTTTAAAGCATTTGATGTATATGGTAACTACTATACAGAAGACATTTGGTATTTTGAAGTAATAAAACAGTTATTTGTTATGCTTAAGGAGATTTCTTGTTCTGAGTCTTTTAAATTCTTTTTCTTTATCGTTTCAGTTCCAGGAAATCTGTGTCACAATCACATCTCTAAATTAAATTTTTTTCATTTTGAACCCAATTACTTTACTGAAGAAATTGATTAAATACAGAAATGATCTTTTAAGAAATATATATTTAAATATACATATATAAATATATATGATCTATTTCACAATGACTTCTAAAATACATGAAAATAAAAATAGTTCTTGTAGAATACTCCTCTATGAAATCTTGGTATGATTATCAATTGTTTAGATGGTACTTTAAGGTTACTGGGTTGGTAGAAGATCTGTAAGTTGTTTTTCAATTATCTGAATCCTCTTAAAATATTTTACTCTATATTATTATATATCTCTTAAAGAAAAAGAATATAGTGCTAAAAATAAGTGAAGGGCAGAACCCAAGAGATTTGGAGCCTAGACAACTTAAGGAAATGGGTAATTAGGATTTGTTTGGTTTATAGTTGGTCTTAAGTGCTACAACCTCATGTTTGTCACATTCTGGTCTGAGTGGCAAGTATGAAGTTCCAGGGGTTAATAGCATTCCACATTTGAAGACTCAGGATTGTCAGGGGGTTTCGTGTGGTGTTTCCTTCTGTGTTTCTTCTCAGTGAGTTAATCCTTTGGATGAGTGTACAGAGTTTTAACTATTAAAACAATCCCACACAATCAAAAATTTCTTACGATTTGGTATCTCATTCTCTTGGAGGATTATTTTTCCTGAACACATTTAAAAATGGGGCACAGGAAGTAAATTGATACATGGTCTCAACCAAGTCTCTTAAAATTAGTAGTAAAAATAAAACTCATTTTATCATATTCTAGTAGCCTGTCAAAAACTGAGGATACTTTATAGGTCTCCTTAGTAAAATAAAATGGAAACGAAAGTGAAACACAGTTGGCCTTTGAGCAACACTGGTTTGAACTTCATGGATCCACGAACACAGATTGCTGGTCAATAAATATATTGAAAAAAATTTTGGAGATTTGCAACATTTTGAAAAAACATTTTCTTTAGCTTACTTCACTGTAAGAATACAGTATGTAATATACGTACCTACAAGATATGTGTTAATCAACTGTTTATGTTATTGGTAAGGCTTCCGGTCAACAGTAGGCTATCAGTAGTTAAGTTTTGGGGATCAAATGTTACATGTGGATTTTTGACAGCGGTGGGGTGGGGGGTGTCAGTGGCCCTTACCAGCCCCCCGACCCCCACCATTGTTCAAGGGTCAGCTGTAATAAGTTGCTCAGTAACTGGTTACAGATAATTACTGAATGTACTAAAGACTTGTGTGGCTTTTGATTAATGTGTAAAACATATATGATGAAAAAGATATGTATAAATATGTTACTGTTTTTCTCAAGAATAACGAAGTGATATTTAACTAGACATGCTCTTAATAAGAGAAAGTACTGCATTTCTAATGTTTTTTTCTAACAGATTTTTCTGTCTCTCACTATTTCTGTTAGTTCCTTCATTTTTCAAAGAAATGGAATTTGTTTAAATAACTTGCTGATAAACTAGTGAAATCTGTGGTTGCATAATTGTGTGTGTGTTTGTTTATTTGTGCATAGAAGTAGAATAGCTATTTGCTTGTTGAATGCTTTCTGAACCATCCACAGAAGAAAAATGTTTACATCTTTAAAAATCTGAAGATTTTATTTGGACACACAAATATAATTTGGAGGACTTTTCAGAAAAAGGAGTTTAAACTTACACCAACCAGGTCAAGTTAGGTTTGAAAAAAATGAAACTTAAAAAAATCCAAGAATTTAGTCCTAAACTGTGAATTTCAGAGTCCAGTGGTCTTAGTACTTTGGTTTTTGTTTTCTTCATCTGTTACACTGAAGCTATTTAAAATATACTCTCTCATTAAAATAAATGTATTCATTTCTTAAATGACCATGAGTGTCTCATGTACCCTTGAGGGTGGAATGTTACATCAATGTCAGTTAGGTTCAGTAGGTGTATAAGGTTGTTGAGGTCTTAGATATTCTTACTGGCTTTCTTTTTACTCATTTCAGCAGTTGCTCAGAGGTATGTTGAGAACCCCAGCTGCTATGGTGGATTTGTTTATTTCTCCTCTCAGCACTATTTTTTCTTCTTGTATTTTGAGGCTCTGTTCTGTGTTCTTGGTGGATTGATCCCTTTACATTATGAAATGTCCCCTCCTTCCTTGGTAATAATCCTTCTCCTAAGGTCTACTTTGTATGATATTAAACAGTCCCTCTAAGATTCTTGTATTAAGCATTGTATTATATAATTCTCCCAACTTCTACCTTTAACCCATCTGTTGTACCTTTATATTTAAAGTATATTTCTTATAGATAGCATAGAGTGGATCTTTCTTTTTACTCTAGTCTGACAGTCTTTCAGTTGCCATGTGTAGATGTCTTTTGGTAATTATTGCTATCTCTGGTGTATTAGTTATCTATTGGCTATGTAAAAAACAACTTCAGTCCTTAGCACCTTAACGCAAGACATATTTATCATCTTACAGTTTCTGTGGGCCAGGAATTCAGGCACAGCTTAGCTAGTTACCCCTGCCTCAGAGTGTCTCACAAGCCTGCAACTGGGTGTCAGCCAAGGCTGATATTTCATCTGAAGGTTCAGTTGGGGAAGGATCTGCCTCTAACCTTAGTTACATTGTTCTTGGCAAAATTCAGTTCCTTGGGGGCTGGTAGACTGAGATGACAGTCTCAGTTCCTTGCTGGCTATTGGCTG